TTTTTTAGTGGATGCACTGAGGATTGAACCCAGGACCTCATGTATGCTTGGCAGGCTCTCTACCACTAAGCTATACCCTCCCCTCTCTATATTATTTCTTCCAGCTGCATGTAAGTGTATGATTATCTCAAAATAAAAAGTTTATAGTGATATCTATTCCTTACAATATAAATAGTTGAACGTACTTAAAAATGGTCTTTGTGACTGTCGCCATGACTGACCCTGGCTTGTCCTTCCTGGTTTAGAAAGGTGGGACTTAGTCAAATTCCAGTCTTATCCTCAGTTAGAGGAGCTGAGGGGTAGTCTGAGTTTTTTTCTTCTTTTTTATTGTAGTATAGTTGATTTACCATGTTGTGTTAGTTTCACGCGTATGGCTGTATACCTGAAAATATATATTCTTTTTCAGATTCTTTTCTATTATAGGTTATTGCAAAATATTGAACACAGTTCCCTGTGCTATATACAAAGTACGATCTTGTTGTTTATCTGTTTCATATAGAGTAGTTTGTATCTGCTAATCCCAAACTCCTAATTTAAACCTCCTTCCCTCTTTGGTAACCATAAGTTTATTTTCAATGGCTGTGAGTCTGTTTCTGTTCTGTAAATAAGTTCATTTGTGTTCTATTTTATATTCCACAAATAAGTGATACTATATGATATTTGTCTTTCTCTGTCTGACTGACTTCACTTTGTATGATAATCTCTAGGTCTGTCCATGTTGCTGCAAATGGCATTGTTTCGTTCTTTTCATGGCTGAGTAGTATTCCACTGAATATATGTACATTTTCTTTATCCAGTCATGTGTCCATGGACATTTATGTTGCTTCCATGTCTTGGCTATTGTAAATAGTGGTGCCATGAACATTGGCGTGCGTGCGTCTTTTCAAATTAGTTTACTCAGGATACATGCTCAGGATCGGGATTGCTCATTAATAGGGTAACTGTATTTTCAGTTTTTTTAAGGAACTGCCATACTGTTTTCCATCATGGCTGCACCAAATTGTATTCCCACCAACAGTGTAGGAAGGTTCCTTTTTCTTCACACCCTCCCCAGCATGTGTTATTTGTAGACATTTTCATGATGGCCCTTCTGACCACTGTGAGGTGATACCTCATTGTGGGTTTGATTTGCTTTTCTCTGTAATTAGCAACGTGGAGCATCTTTTCATCTGCCTATTGGCCATCTGCATGTCTTCTCTGGAGAAATGTTTATTTAGGGCCTCTGCCTATTTTCTGATTGGATCGTCAGGTCCCAGTGTGAGCCAGGTGTTACTCATGTCTGTGACTGCTCAAAGTGGCCCGTGGGTTTCCTGTCATCGACTTGCTTATACATATTTATGGGGCACCTGGTCAGTGCCACGCCCTGTTCTAGGTCATGGAGACATCACAGTGACCTGAGATCAAGGAGATGGTGGGGGCAGAAAGACAACAACCAAACCCTCCTGGCCTCGGCGCCTGGGGAGAGCCTCCGAGAAACGTGAGCCCGGGAATGCCACCTCTGCCACACTGGCCCCGGCTCACGCCCCGTTCTCACCCGTCCCGGCGCAGAAGCACTTCTGCTTGCATGCGGAACTACCCGCCACCCCACTGGAGGAAGTATACGCAGTCTTTCTGGGTAAGGGCCACAGCTCCATCGGGATTCATGAAGTTTCCGATGGGATCAGAACGGGGAAAGCAGCTCCGATCCTGTCCATGCAGGATCATGCTTAATGGAATAATCCTGTGCCAAAAAAGGGTTTATCTGGGCGTCTCCGCCTGCCCACCCAAGATAATGTCAGCAACCAGTTTGTTTACAATATTTTGCAAATATGTCTGTAGCTGCATCCTATAGAGGGCAGCCATGAGCTTGAAACTAGAAACATCCCTCCCCAGCTCAGTCCTCCCACTGCGGGCCAGCTTCTGAGCCTCTTCCAAATTTCCTGGATGTCTGGGTTCCCTTATCACGTCATTTTCATCAAGTCCGATAAACCCCATAGACATCTTCCAGTTACTTTCTGGAGCCTTATGTACAAATTCATAGCAGATCCTATTGGTGGCCAAAAAAAAATAAAAACAAAAAAAGGAAGGGTGTTTACACTTCCTGGCGGCGCATGTAGCATCCTCCGTAACTGCTCCCGGGGCTGCCTCCTAGAGGAGTTTCCATCTTCCCCAGGGCCTGGGGACCAGGCGGCACATCATGGGCCAGGATGTGGGGGGCCGGCTCAGATGATTCCTCAGGAGGATCCAGGTCCAGGGACCAGGAGACCAAAGTCTAGCCATGACCTGCCGTGTCTCCTGACACATCTGATGCTCATTCATTCCAGGAGACCATGAGCCAGAGAGAAGGAGCCAAGGACCCCGGGAACGTCAGAAGCCCTGTGGGAGGAGCGTCTGCTGGGCTCGGCCCTGCCGCCCCTGGGTCGGGCCGAGAGGGCCTGGGGGGTTAGGCCTCCCGCCCAGCCTCGCCCACTGTGACCTCATCTTAACTGAGGACATCTGCATGTGGGACAGGCACATCCCATCTCCGAGCACGGCCCACTCTGAGGCGTGGGAGCTAGGACCTGCACATATGGCTTCGGGAGCACGTCATCCCATCTGCAAGGGGTGTTTGGCCTTAAGTCCCCTAAGGACCCCCATGGGAGCAGCAAGCCCACACAGGTGGCAGCCAAGGCTGAGCGGGTCCTGAAGGAGCGTTTGTTCTCCAAACACGGGTCGTGCAGACCCCTGCAGGTGCTGATTTCCACCCTGGACGTGACCCTGAGCTCTGCTGCTCAGACCCTCCAAATGACTAAGACCCGAGGTCTCTGGTGGTGGGGACACTGGGGCAGCTGCTGAGCAGTCAGGCAAGGACAGAGATTCAGGAAGAGGTCCAGGTGTGGGTGTGGCTGGAGTGAGAGAGCCCCGGCTGCTTCTAGACCCTGCCCCGTCACCTGGGCAGGGCTGGTGTTTCTACTGGGTCTGTGATGGTGCCGGTTTCCCCTGGAGCCCATCTTGAGGATTCTGGTAGGACCTGCCATGGCAAAGCCACTTCCCACCCCACAGGAGATCCAAAGGAACTGAGAGCACGGGGGTGGGTGGAGCTCAGTGTTCGAGCAGGCTTGGCATGCACGAGGTCCTGGGTTCAATCCCCAGCACCTCCATTAAAAGAAAAAGAATTGAAAACAGGATCTTGAAGAGAGATTTGCACCCCCTTGTTCACAGCAGCATTATTCACAGCAGCTAAAGTGTGGAAAGAGCCTAAGTGCTGGTGGACAATGAATGGAGAAACTTGATGTGATCCATCCAGAAAATGGAAGGTTATTCAGCCTTAAAAACAAAAGACATTTTGACACAGGCTACAGCATGATGAATCTTCAGGACGCGATGCTCAGTGAAAGAAGCCAGTCACAAAAGGACAGATACTGTCTGATCCCACTCGCATGAGGTCTCCAGAGGTGTCACATTCACAGAAACAGAAAGTAGGATGGTGGGGGGGGGCAGGGGCTGGGGGAGGAGAAAGAGGGGAGGACAAAGAGGGGGTTAGTGTTACAGGGGACAGAGTTTCTGCTGGGGAAGAAGGAGAGGTTCTGGAGGTGGATGGTGGTGATGGTTGAATGATGTGATTACGCTAAATGCCGTAGGACTGTGCAGTTAAAATGGTTAAGATGGGAAATGTTATGTTACGTGTACTTTACCTCAATAAAAGAAAACCATGAAAAGCAGACAAACCACAAACCTGAGGCAGAGCAGTATCTGTCCCTTACCTTCCCACCACCCAGAGTCCGGAAGGGAAGGGGGGAAAGTCGGGCTCGCTCCAGCAGCAGTTTTGGGAATTCAGGTCTGTCTGGCTCCAAGTGTCACGCAGCAGGTGTCTGCTGAATGCGGGGCTTATGTGAGTGGGGCCGCGCACAGACTGAGAAGACAGTCTTGTACTGGTTACTGGTTGCAAGTAGTAACGTAAGTCAGCACTTCCCTGTGCCGGAAGTGTCAGAGCAGGTGGGTAGTTAGACATGAGCAGAGCAAGGGGGCCGTGGGCCAAATGGCAGGAATTGGACAGAAAGGAGGGGCACAGGCCAAATGCAGCCTACATCACGTAAGCCCCGGGGGCCCTGGGCAGACAGAGAAGCTGGAACCTCTGGGCTGATAAGCGGTCACACGTTGTGGGGTGACAAGTGCCCTGAGGCCGACAAAGAAAGGTGGGAAAAGGTAGGAATCTCCAGTGTCCAAATGTAACCTTTTCTCATTGCGCCCTGATTACAATAAAACTAGCCTTGCAGATTGCAAGTACCCAGCATGCACCAACACTGTGACACTTCTGATCCAGGCTGAATAAAGACAAAAATCCCTGCTCCCCTCGGGAAGGCGGAGCTGGGATGAAAGTCAGGGAATATGACCCCAAACCCTTCCCTCCCAGTGAGTATTCCGCCCATTCAGTTTTACACTCTGTGTAACCAGCTTGTGACAGAACCTCAGGGCAGCTGCTCCCCTGAGCTGCCCGCTCCCCCGGGAGAGCGTGCCGTTCGCCCCCGATAAACCCTGACTTCCCTTCCTCAGCTGCCACGGCTGCTCTCCGAGCTCTTTCTGGGAAAAGCCAAGCCCCTAATCACAGGCAACAGTAACGTTTCCCACTCACAGGCGAGTGAGAGGGGCTCCAGGGGAGGAGACCCCTCCTTGTGGGGGGACGGATTACAGCCCCCGCACGTGAACAGGGAGCTCCAGGCCCCTTACACTCCTAAGCCTCCTCAATGCACCCCCCCCCCCGGCAGTCCCGCACTCCAGGAGGGGCCTGCCAGCCACTCAAGTCTCTGAGCCCCGCCCAGGACCCAGGTCGCTTCTGCTAGAAGCCCTTTCTACTACAAGCTGCCGGCAGGTCACCCAAGGAGGTGACAAGTGTTGTGGGGTTCAGCGGACCAGTGTGCGCAGGCAGCAAAGGAATTTCCAAAAGACAAAGGGTGAGAGCAGAGGAGTTTCTCAGGGACGCTGTCGCAGACAAGAGTCGCCTGTGCAGCCCAGGGGGCCGGGTGCTGGGTCTTCTGTGAGGGTCACACCAGGTACCGTGGGGTCACAGAATGCCTGATGCACTTGGCACAAGCCACTGACTGGTTGATGCTGAGGTACAAGGAAAGGGGGCCGTGAAAGGCTACCCGGCCCTGGGAGGGGGCTGGAGCCAGCCTGGCAGGCAGGCTTCCCGGCGCCGCGCCCTGGATCATTATCTCGGCTGAGGCAGGCGTGTACCAGGGAAGGGATGGTCTTTGCTATCTTTAAAGGGCAGCAGCCAGGCACCTGAGGGCCCCCCCAACATGCCTCCCCCCCACACGTCCCCCACCCCTACACCTTCCTGCTGTGTCCGAGGGGCCTTGGAGCAGGAATCTGCCAGATGTCTTGCCAGACCTCACAGCAAGTGCCAGTGAGGTGACTGTCACCATGTCACAGGGGAAATGTATCCCCTCTTACTTGCTCCTGCCGCTCTGGGGCTTCTAGAAGGCTGGGTGGGGCCAGGGCACATGTCTGTGTGTTCTGTTCGCCATGGGTTTTGTCCAGCAAGTCCCACCACGGAAGAACGAAATTACTCACGACTTTATGGATAAAGTCAGGAGAGTGACAGGGAGGTGGAGACCGACTCCCTGAGCGCCTCCAGAGCACTTGCATTTATTGGGAACAGTCAGACAGAGGGTCAAGACCAGGGAGTCAGAACATCAAAAGGCTCCTGTTACTTAAAGAAAACCAGCTACCCCAGGTTAAGGAATTTAGTGCTTCTCTATGTGTGGGAAGGCGAAAGGTCTGGGCTCATTGCCATTACTCCTTTGATCTGCAGCTTAGCTGTCTAGGGCCAGTGTTCTGTTCTTTCCCATCCTGAGACCTCTCGAGGGCACCCTTGGGGGCGCTGCAGAGGCCAGGCTGCCTGCTTGTCTGAATCCTGAGTTCCCTCCCGGTGGCGGCGGCTGGTGACAGCGTCCTTTGTTTACTGATAGGGCTGGCGATGGTTTTCATTCACATGGCTTCCCTTTGGTCCTAAATTGGATCAATATTTTGGGAGACATTTCGTGACTAATTTTGGCCCACAGCACTAGGAAGTCTTATTCCTAGATCAGGTGAAGATTCTGTTGACATGCCAGTCAAGATGCTAATGTGTGGAGCAGGCCCTGCAGATAACCAAAGAGCTCTCTGGCTCGCCCGTCCTGCTGGTCTGTTGTGACCCAGGAAATGCTCTCCCCCGTTGCTTCTTCCCGTAGCTAGAGCCGCACTACGGCAGCTGCTCTACGCAGGGTTACAATGCGCCCACTTCCTCAAGGTGTTTAGCCATCATCAGTTTTGTTGGAGGCCTGGGTACACGGTGGGCAGTTTATGAGCCAACAATCAGATAAAATAGGCAGAGATGGGTGATGCTTCTGCCAGCTAAGGAGACCCACAGATGGCCAGAAACCACCAGAAGCTGGGGCAGAGGCCCGGACCAGATTCTCCCTCACAGCCCTCGCAGGAACCAACCCTGCGGCCACCTGGATCTTGGACTTCCAGCCTCCAGAACCAGGAGACAATAAATGTCTGTTGTGTAAACACCAGCCTCCCAGCCGCAGCTGCGGGGCTTTGTCAGAGCAGCCCCAGGGAATCTGCAGGAGGCCCTGCACACAGCGCTGCACACAGCAAGCTCGCCCAGCGGGCCTGCCGCCAGTCAGACCCACCCAGATGCCCACGTACCTGCTCCAGCCTACTGAGGGAGGGGGATGCCTCCGCCTGGGCCTGGCGTCTACCCTGGGGCTGCAGGACTTCCTTCCACCACCACCACCTGCAGCTCCATGCTTTCCTCAGGGTCGTGGGAGGGCCCCGGGCTGGCCCCAGCCTGGGGTGTCAGGGCTGAGTCCTCCCCCACCGACAGCGGCCTTGTCTCCTGGCCAGGGGCTGGTCGGCCCCTCTCAGGGCCCGTCCACGTCGCATCAGGCTGGCTGCTTCTAGGTGACTAAGGGACAAAGTCATTTCTTCTGGTGACAGGAGGCAGCGCAGGCCTTTCCCAAGTCACTGTCAGGGAGAGAAATGCCAACCATCTGACAGGTAAGTAAGGGCTGTGCATCTTAGAGAGGAACACGGCATGGGGTCAGGCCCCTGCTCTGCCACCAACCACTTGAGCATCCCTGGGGAGTTAGCCGGAGGTGGGTTATATGGTGGCACCCACATCCCAGTCCCTAGTGCCTGTGGATGGGGCCTATTTAGAAACAGGGTCTTTGCAGCTAAGGTCATACTGGACTAGTGTGGGACCTGCATCTCACGACTACTGTCCTTAAAAGGAGAGAGATTTGGAGACACAGAGACACACAGTGAGAGGCCACACGAAGATGGCAGAAACTGGAGTGACGTGTCCACAAGCCGAGGATGTCCAGTCCCTAGCAAAAGAAGCTTCCAGGAAGGACCCTCTCCCAGAGCCCCCCACAGGAAACCAGCCCAATCAGCCCCTTGACTTTGGACTCATGGTCCCCAGAACTGCGGACAGTACGTTCCTAGTGTCTCAAGCCCTGGGGTCAGTGGGGAACTGTTTCTGCAGCCCTGGGAAACCCAGACAAAGCCCTTTGTCCCCTGGGCTTCAGCTGCCTCTCCGTGGTCAGACGACCAGCAGAATTCAAGTTCTCTTCCAGCACAGATGCCCCAGGGCTCTGCTGAAGTGAGTGCAGACACCACGGTCCAGGCTGAGCAGTGGGTGCAGGTGGGAGGCCTGGGGCGCCCCGCGCCCGCCCCCACCCCAGATGTCACCCGGGGCCCCACTGGACAAACCCCAGGGGGAGACTTACAGGACTGCCTGGCTCATTCGGATCTTCTGCAAATCAAAAAGACAGAGAAAGAAATATAATAGATATTACCTGTCACAGTGGCTTCTCTGAGGGAGAGGAGCTGCCTTGAACTCACAGCAAAGAAAGTGTCCTAAAGTTTCATGAAATCGATGACCCCCTGAGAGAATGCAGGAGGGGCCTTACTTGGTGAGCTTCACCAGCCCTGGGGGCCTGCCTCCCTGAGGATGCCCCTGGCTCGGGCAGCAACAGTCTCTCCCTGCTTCCCGGACAGGGCACCCTGGACACCCTGTCTCCAACCAGCTGACCTGAGATCCTGGTCTTAAGTCCTGTGTGTCCGGAAGCCCGAAGCAGGTGGCCCCGAGATCAGAGGCATGAGAGGCCCCCGAGTTAGAAAGTGAGTGTAGCTGTGTTTCAAATGAGACGCCCCCCCATGAGGAACCATGAGCCCCAGGCCCCCGTTCCTGAGCTCCCGGTGCAGCTGCGATCTTGTTTTCTCCAGGACTGATGTGACCATGATTACCGTTTTTGCTATGGTTGTGAAGGGTGATGGGAATGCTGAGGATGGCGAAGATGGGGAGGAGCACAAGTAGTGCCCACCAACAGCTTGAGATTCCTGGAAAGAAGCAGAGGAGAGAATGCTGTCACAGAGTCAGGCACACTCTCCTCATCTCAGTGACATGCTGGAGGAGAGTCCCCCTCTGGGATGGGTGGCAGCATTGCCTTCTGCAGGCCCCAAAGTGCTCCCAAGCCGACCATCGCTGTGAACCGCTCCAGCAGAAGGCAGGACAGGCTGATCCTTCTGCTCAGACAAGACCCTGGGCTCAGAGGCTGGGAGGTCCTGCTCAGGTCCTCGGAAGCAGCAGGAGATCTGAGCCATTGGAAGAGCAACAAGGGGTCCTGGCATCTCAGTAAGGGGCTCAGGTGCAAGTGGTCGCAGCTGCCGGATATACTCCATGAGCAGCAGGAGGCAGAGCCTGGAGGAGGAGGCTGGGAGGAGGAAGTGGATGGCCTGTCCTGATTGGAGCAAGGCCTGGCCATGGTGGCTCAAGGGACAGAGCCGGGTCCACCCTGGGGACATGTCTGGAGTGACCACTAGGGTGTGTCTGTCTCACCCTGGTGGGCTCTCAGCACCCCGAGGAGCCCTGGACACACAGATCTGGGGGGCAGGGGAGGCCCATCAGGGCTGTGGACGCTCAGCCACCCTGATGTCACCTGTTGAAGGACAGAGGACAGTGGAGTGAATCTTTCACGTGGTGCCACCATCCTACGTAAAGGCTTTTCTTTATTCTCAAATTAGGCCCTTTCTAATTCTCTCTTCTTTTCTGGTGTTGAAATAGCCTTTAAATGTCTTTACATGTTATTGAAACCAAAAGGAAATCAAGGTGGGCAGGGATAAACTGGGGGTTTGGGATTTGCAGATATATAAACTACTATATATAAAGTAGATAAACAACAAGGTCCTACTGTCTAGCACAGGGAACTATGTTCAATATCTTGTAATAACCTATAAGGATAAAGAACATGAAAAAGGATGTATACATATGTATAAAGGAATCACTATGCAGCACACCGGAAATTAACACACCAGGGTAAACAGACTGTACTTCAATTTAAAAAAAAGGAATCGACCAGCCAATTCTGAAACGTAAACGGATGTGCCGAGTCCAAGAAAGGAGGCAACGGGGCATGAAGGTGGCACTGGTCCCGGAACAGAGAGGACGCCCAGATGGCTGCTCAGTTACAACCCAGGAACCCGGAGAGCGGGGAAGGGATGGTCCTCAACACCATCTGGGTCATCCTTTCACGCACTTGGGAAAAAACCCACCTAACGCCGACCCCTACCTCACACCATGCCAACTTAACTCCAGGGTCATGCAGAATGAAACGAGAAATGTAAGACCATACGGCTGCTGGCAGGTCACGCGACAGAATGTCTCTACCGGGTGAGCAAACATTTCTCAAATCAGGAAAACGGTGACAAACTCGACCACACTAACATGCAGGGCCTCTGTCAACAAGCGACCCCGCGAAGTGAATAAACGGGCACCTGGCAGATGGGGGAGAGATTTCCAATGCAAAGGGCTCATGTCCCAAGTGATAAATAATCACCAAAGACAAGAAAACAAAACCCCTAGACAACCCAATATGAAAATGGGTGACAGTCTTAAAAAAAAAAAGACACAAATGAACTTATTTACAAAACAGAAACAGACTCACAGACATAGAAAACAAACATGGTTCCCGGGGGGGAGGGGTGGGAAAGGAGAAATGGGGAGTTCGAGATTTGCAGATACTAACTACTATATATAAAATTAACAAGTTTCTGCTCTTTAGCACAGGGAACTACATTCAATATCTTGTAATAGCCTATAATGAAAAAGAATCTGGAGACGAACATGCAGGAATACGGATGACTGAAACACTGTGCTGTACACCAGAAACTGACACATTGTAACTGACTATACTTCAATTAAAAAGAAAAATCTTTAAAAAAAACCAAAACGGGCAAGACTCTCCCACAGACACTAACACAGGAGCATCCTGTCCGCGCCTGGCTGGTGCCCAACCTCATGTCCTCAAGACCCACTGGGAGAATCCCGGGAAGGGCAGGGACCTGGCATGTCAGGACGTCGGGATGTTGGGAGAGGAGGACGGGGGATGGAGTGCGCCACCTGCAGGGGGAGAAAGGTGCTGCCCTGGCTGGCCCAGCCACTCTGCTCCCCTTTGCTCCCTGTGAACGTGGGGCAGGATGACACCCAGGAGCTACCTGGTCAGCCCGGGGCGGCTCAGCCTGACCCCACACGGCCCCAACTTGGGCAGCAAGGACGAGGAGGCTGCAGCTTGTCCCCAAGGATCCTATTCGTTTATTCAAGACAGGGCCCCTTGAACAGTGACCTACCAGCCCAGTCCGGCCGACTGCCTACTTCTGTGCGTGAAGTTTTGTTCACACGCAGCTGAGCACCTGTTTGCTCATAGCCTCCAGCTTCTTCCGCAGCAGCAGAGCTGAGTGGTGACGGCAGGGACCTCAGGGCCCACACAGCCTTAACTTTGTGCCTTTATGGATTGACGAGATGGAATTGGACTCTTACCTGGCTTTGGATTACTTTCTGTGGCACAAACTGTATCCCTGGTGGCATTGCATGGATGAAGGACGGTGCTGCCTTCACATCTGAGAGGGAGAGAAAAGACTCCCTGAGCACGTCTTCTCCCTGCCCACACCCGGCCCCAAGCGTCCTTCTCACCACCCACAGGCCAGGGGCCAGAGGGACCAGCCCCTCCTCCTGGGCTGGCCCACCAGGCAGCAGGCAATCAGTGTCCTGGCATTTCCCAGGCTATCCTGCCCAAAGGGGGCTCAATGAGAAGGAAGCTTGGGCATTCGCTGTGATACACGGCTGTAGGGGGGCTCCCTCTGTCTCTATTCCTGAACAGAGCTGTGTGTGGCTATGAGGACTGGACCTGTTGTAGCCATCTCTCTACCAAGAGGAAAATCAGCCTAAAGATGAAGCTCATGGAGAAGGGGACAGAGAAGCAAGTCCAGAGACGCCAGAGCCCTGATCAAACCAGACCTGAAGGCAGCCCTTACTTTGGACTTGTCAGGTTCAAGAGCCAATTGTTCAACATGGTCTTGAGTTGCAGTTAAGAGTCTACAAATGTGAACTATTTTGCTAGTGGCTTCACCACTGTCAATGTCTCCCCCAATAGCCTCACTGAATCCACACCTGCCTGGACAGAATGCGACCTTCTTTGGCAACAGAGTCTTTGCAGCTGTAATTGTGTGGAGACAAGGTCATACTGGATCAGGGTGGATCTGAATCAATGACCAATGTCGTCATAAGAGGGAAACTGCATGCAGACAGAGGCAAGGCCATGTAAAGACAAGGGACACAGACACACTTGAGAACAGAGAAGATGACTTGAAAGTAGGAGCAGAGACACAAGTGATGTGTCTACAAGCCAAGGAGAGCCCAGGACTGCCAGCAACATGGAAAGCAGCAGGAAGTGACGAAGGAGCGCCTGCAGAGGGAGCAGGGCTGACACCGTGGTTTCAGACCTCTGGTCTCCCGAGATGTGAAAGAACACACCTCAGTGGGTTTTTGGGAAACTCAGGCCCCAGTGCAAAGCACGGCCGTTGTCTCTGTCC